TGTTGACAAGGGGATATTAATTGTTTTATAGCAAAAGAAAGTTTGTTACTAATAATCTTTTCGAAAAATTTTGCAATAATAGGAAGCTTAGCGATAGGGCGATAGTTGGAGATGTCACTTTTGCTACCTGTTTTAAAAACGGGGGACACAGAAGTGATTTTCCATTCATCCAGAAAAAGACCTAACTTTAATGATAAGTTGAATAAAAGTAGCAGTGGTTCCGAAATCGACGAAATGCATTGCTTGAGAAAAAAGACGATATTTGATGCACGTCCGCTTTTTTGGAATTCGTTAAGCTTCGTATTCCATAAGAAATATCATCTTGTGATAAGAGCAGAGATCCAAAATCTAAAGAAGTAGAAGTGTTGTTGCAGGTGGACTCACTACTCAATGGACACTCATTAACAAAGTTCGATTTGAAAAAAATCTGCGAACATATTCACTGTGTCATTAATTGACAATGACTGCTTCCCTCCATACTGCAAGGAATTTGGAAAAAGCGAGGTGGTACGCTTTGAGTTGATAAAGGACCAAAATGCTTTGGGATTAGATTTGATGTTATTTTTCTTTTTTTTTTTGGCGGCGGAATAATGTTATTCTTGGATGCAATGCAAACAGTGAACTTGATGTTGTAGTTAAGAAGAGATGGGTGCATGTCTCCTCTTTTAACCCTGAAATCTCGGAGCAAAGCGTTATCGAATATGTCGCAAAACAAACTGGCATTGACATTAAACATCTAGCCTGCAATAAACTTGTAAAAAATGCTTTCTATGATAAAATCTTAGCTTCTGAGGTTTGGCCGTCGAGTATCAGTGTAAGGCCATTCAAGTTTTTTCAAAAGGAGGTGAAGTCAGCCACTTCAACTTGCCTGTTGTGCTACGGAATCCCGCAATCATCAGTCGAATTTCAAAATATACTACCAGAATATGGCAGGGATGCGAACAAAGGCCAGTGCTGTTTACTCGGCTACGTGCCATGCGGATTATGACATTGTTGTTCTTGTTGAAACGTGGTTAAATG